TAGTCCCCACTTCCCAAAAGTTCCATGGCACTTTCCAATACTGTTTCCCTATGGATCAAGCCTTCAGTCACAAGACCCTTGGGGAACACATATTCAAATCATAGCAGTGATGTAATGCATATGGCAATAGATTAATTTAGCCATTCAACAATATATACATGTATCAAAACAATGCTGTACACAATAAGTATAGAATGGGGGATGGGTTTTTTTTCAGTTTTTTGAGACAGAATTTCACTATGTAACCCAGGCTGGCCTTGAACTCCCAATCCTCTAGCCTCAGCCTCCCAAGTGTTGAGATAACAGGTGTATACCACCCCATCTGGCAGTATATACAATTTTTACTGGTCAATTAATTTTTTTAAAAAGTTTTTTGCTCTTAAGCTAACTATGAACTGAACCACTTAACTCATGGAGAACAATATTGCCCAAGTCAGTCCAGACATGGGCTGAAGTAGCTGAAGACATGAAAATTGAAGGGACAGAATTTTTATCAGTGACTTCTTGTTTTTTAATTTTTACTATCTAGAACCCACAGCTTTGATTTGGGGAAAATAAACTGATTCAGTCTAAAATGGGTTTACTTAAGGAACTAAAAACCTAGCAATTCTCTATTGGTCATTGCTTACTTTTATCTAAATTATTCCTGTATCTTAGACCATTTTTATTGCTGTAACAAAATACTTGAGTTTGAGTACTTTATAAAGAAAAGGGATTTATTTAGTTTGTAGTTCAGGAGGTTCAAGAGTATGATGCCAGCATCTTCTTGGCTATATCATAACATGGCGGCTGATACAGCAGGAACATGTACAGGAGGAGAGACCACAAGACAAGACCAGAAGCCAAACAGATTCAGGGGCCAGGCTCACTGTTTTTATTGTAACAATTCATTCTTACAAAAAAACAACCCAGGTTCTACAAGAACTACATTAAAACTGTCTAAGGCAACACCCCTAATGACCTAATCACCCTGCACTAAGCTGCATCTCTTAAAAGATCCATCACCTCTCAACATTTTGCCACACTGAGGACCAAGTTTCCAACACATGAACCTTTGGGGACACATTCAAATCACAGCATCCCAAAGGCAGAGTAGTCACACATCAACTAAAACAAAATTATTCAAAAGCCAGGTCAAGAGAGATGGTCTTTCATAAACAAACTTCAAAACTACTGCACATACCAGGTCCATCCTTTTTGTTTAATATGGCTACACTAAATCTGACATCAGGCATGAGCCAGAACAACACAAACAAAAGTATGTTCTTTAGTTGAACTTTAGAGTACAATCCACATTGAGTTTTTATTGGCGGTTAACTCCCTCCCCCTGAACAATCTTGTCTCCAGCCTTGGACATTTCCAACTTCAAACTGGAACCTTCTCACAACTGGTCATGTAAGCAGTTGTCTCTGGGTACAGAGAAGACTGTTAATATAGAGAAAATATGGTTAATTATCAGGTCTATTCTATATGATACTGGTTGTAGTTATAAAATTTCAAAATAAAAAGTGTAAAAATCAGAAATTGTGTTACTGGATAGTCTGGTCACAAGTCTAAAAAGCTTATACTTTGCAAATATTTCATTTTCACTTAATTTGTAACATCACTTAGTTTTGGGTTAAGGAGGAAAAGAAGTCTTCTAACACATTATATTAAAAAAAAATGAAATCAGGCACAGTGGCTCAAGCCTGTAATCCTAGCTACTCAGGAGGTGAATTGAAGTTCAGTCAGCCCAGGCAGAAAGTTCATGAGACCCTCACCTAAACCAATAAAAAGGTGGGTGTGGTGGTGTCTCTCATCCCAGCTCTACAGGAATCATAAATAGGAGGACTGCAGTCCAGGCTGGCCCAGGCATAAAGAAAGACCTCAAAAATAACCAAAGCAAAAAAAAAAAAAAAGACTGGGGGCATGGCTTGAGTTGCAGAGCACCAGCTTAGAAAGGGCAAGGTCCTGAGTTCAAACTCCAGTACCGCTAAGAAAAAAAAACCAAAAAACTATAAGGCAGGTATGGTGGCATAGGCCTGTATTCCAGCATTCAAGAGGCTGAGGTGGGTGGATCAAAAGTTTGAGGCCAGCCTGTGCTATATAGCGACACCCTGTCTCAAAAACAAAGCAAATCTATGGAGATTAACTACTTGGACCTCCTAGCTGATACCTTACTTTCACCTAACCTGGAAAGAAATGTTTCCACTGAGTCTTTAAAATATCCAAATTATTACTAACTTTTCTTCAGAGGCAGCTATTAGCTAAAAGGCCTCATAAAAGATACTGAAAAAGCAAGCAGGCCAACGTAAAAAAGAACTAGGCCATTATTAAGCAAGATGCAGCAGGTTGAGTGGGATGTTCCAATCCCCTTTCTCCTTCCAGGTGTAGAACTGATCTTGGCTTAGCTTTCTATCTCAATTTCCAGCTTTCTAACCTTAATTTCACTGAAAATCTGAAGGTGGACCATCAGATATGTGACTAGACAAGGCTGCTTCTGGCAAAATGCCCTGGGTAGTACCTTAAAACCAAGCCGGAAAGGCTGTGAATGAACACAAACACCTATTAGGAGCCAAATCTTGGGCTCTGAGTGCAGTGTACCTACCCCAGGGATGCTACATGCATAGGGACTGTTAGAGTGGTCTCTTATCATATAGACTCTAAAGACAGAGGCTCCTACACCCTTCCATATACTCTATGGGGATTGCTATGGTAATTCCCATGGAGACAGTATGCCCTAAAGCTGCCCGCTGGCATGCTGCCTGGCTGTTCCCTGTCCTTCAGGGTAAACTGGTATCAGACATGGCTTTACCAGGTTTGGGGAGTCAATATGTAGCTGAACCCAGAACCAGATGTGAATGGGTATTCTTCAGAGGCAACCCCATCTCACATTAACACCAAACAGGTACAGAAATGGCTATCAAATGGGTATGGATTAGAGCCAATGAAGACAAACCATTGAAAGATAAGACCCTTGGAGGTATCGTTGAAGTTTAGGACTGAGAATGGCAAATAAACAGAAAAAGAAGTATTCATCCAGTGAGGAATTGAACAACATCTTTATCATACTTAGCTATTAGCTATTTCTAAATAAAGGAGCAAGGCATCATGGTATAGAGGGAGGAAGTTTTCCCAGAAGCCAGGTCTGGGTTTTGATTTTGTTGTGCACTTAGGTGGTATGTGGCCCAGACAAGGTGCTTCCCCTTGCAGACATCACTGTCTTTTTACATGGAAGAAGAAATGGGTTAGAGGAAAAATGGGAAGCATAATTCAAGTAAGAGAAACACATGAACTTAGAAAATGTTATATAATAAACAGCAAGTGAGAGGGGGAAAAAAAACATTAAGTGTGGCTTGTAGGTCTGCTTTGAATCTGCAAAACAGCCATGATCCTGGGGTTTTAGAATGAGAACAAAAACAAAGCTGAGAGTGGTGGTGTACTCTAATCTCAGCACTTGGGAGGTGGAGGCAGGAGAACCAAGGGTTCAAAACCAACCTGGGCTACAAGATCCTGTCTCAAAAATAAGGTGTTGCCTGTTGGTCTTAGTTAACAATGCTTCATTCATTTCTTAACATACCTGAATACTCATCAAACCTCAGTGTCAACCTCTATTTAACAAAGTTACTCTCAGTTAACTCCAGATAATAAAATGCTAAAATCTTTGACCTTATTCATTTTTGGTAATCTAGTCTCAGAAAAATCCTAAATATAAGAAAAAGCCTTATATAAAAACATAAACTGAATTATTTATTCAGTTTATTTTATAGTAGATAAAAATTTTTATTTTTATTTATTTTATAGATAAAAATTTTTATTTTTATTTATTTTATAGTAGATAAAAATTTTTAGACACAACCCAAAAGTCTCATAATAGGAGAATAATAGTTCACTATGGCTCACTCATGAACTAGTAAAATGATGTTACTATAATATCATTATGTACAATTAGCAAATTTCTTGTTAAGTGAATAAAGTATGAAAAACATTAGGATAAAAATCATTTGACGTTTTAAAATTTTTATATATAAAAAAGAAATGGAAGACATAGAAATGTTAGAGGGAAGCTAAGCATGGTGGTACACAGCTGTAATTCCAGCATTTGGAAGGCAGAGACAGGAGGGCCATGAGTTTGAGGTCAGCCTAGTACCTCACATGGTCAGCTGGGGGCCAGCTTGAGTTACATAATTAAGACCCACTCTCCAACAACCAAAAAAAAAAGTTAAAGGGGACTGCACGTACAAGTTAAACATCTTTTTTCCCCTACTTTCCAACTTTTCTCAAATGAACATCTGTTTTAAAATGGAAAAGTTAAATTTAAAATAAGTTGCTACTCAGTATTATGTTGCCTACCCAATTTTTTGACCATATATTCTCAGTACAGTGTACTAATATAAGCTTGAAGATATGTCAAATCAGGATGGTTATATTATTTTGAATATATAAATGATCTGGGACTGGTAAGATTTAAGTATCTTTCTTTCACTTAATTAACAGAACCTAATACCTTTCTTGACACATATGGAGTATTTATAAATATTTGTTGAACTGACCTAATTTTTAACACTATAATTCATATCAATAAAGAGCTTTGTTTCTTCACACTCCTTATATTAAGAGTTTTGTGATAAGACAAAATAAAGATCCTCAGAAAAGAGAAAAACATTCCTGTTCAATTATTAACAGGGACATGTGTACCAATATACTTACCAAGTATGGGGGCGGAAATAGCACAATAACTCAAAATGCTATGGAACCAAATTAAAAAATATTCACTTTGGGCAATGTGAGAAGATCATGAATGGGATTAGTACCTTTACAAAAGAGGCCCAAGGAACTTCCTACACCCCCTTCCATCATGTGAGGACACAGCATGGAATCTACCAACACCTAAATCTTGGGCTTCCCAGCCTCCAAAACTGTCTCTTGTTTATAAGCCACCTGGTCTATGGTTCTGTCATAGCAGCCCAAACAGATTAAGATAAGGAATAACATGAAAAAAAAATGTCATGCCACAGTTTCAACATCACTGTTTTAATAATGTTAGTTAAATACAAGTACAAAACATTGTACTAGTTTACTTTTTACTACATGGAGATGGACTAACACATTTGAATTTTATCAGAATCTATACCACTCAGTACTTTTGCCACAGTTATCAGTGGCTTTCCACAGAGATTTTTTTTTATTTCTAACAAGTTTTATCATGAATAAAAAGGCCCACAATTCTTTTTAACCACTGCAGAGTTACATTTATCTTAATACTCCTGTTCAAGATGTTTGGAGAACTAGTAAGAAATATAAAATCACCTTAGCTGAGGATTTCGAATGGGAAATATTACCGCACATTGGCCAAGGTCTCCCTTATACTGGCATTGCAAAGACACTATGCACTTATTTGGAGTTAAAAGTATTGTCTCAGTAGACCTCTTACTATGGAGGAAGGCAAATTACTATTTTCTGGAAAGTGCAGATTATCCTAATAGGTATTGGCTGACCAGTAAAATTAATGAAACCCCATATACAGAAAACAACAACAAAGAATATAATGTCCTGTAAGTACTAAAGAAAAACAAGTTTACAAATATTGAAACTGTCTGTCTTTCCTATTGCTAAAATAGCTTACTGTATCAAATGAAAGTCACAGCAATGAATAAAGAAAAAGTAAACTAACTGCCCAGCATTCAGTCTCCATAGCATACCTCACAGTTTTCGGCCATTTCAGTTAAGAATTATCTTATGACAGACAAAAAAATAATGACAGTAACATTAATTTTGCTGGGAAGTATGAAAAAAATACTGTTAATTTCATATTGAAACAAATTGTGTTTTTATAAATGAATAAAATATTTATCATTTTTAAAGTTTTAATCATTCTTGCTGTTAAAAATCAAAGTAATGACAATCTTTAAGGATAAATGCTGGGGTACATAAAATAACATGTTTGGAAAACTGAACCACACTTTTAATTGTCAGCATTATGCTTTGTTCTTGGTAGAATCATCTTTGTTTCTTCTTTTTACATCCCAATTATAAACCCTGGCCATATCTGCAAGCACTGTCAAAGAAAATACAATGCAATTCTAAAGATAACATGAAATGACTAAGTGTTTACTCATACATGAATCAAATACACAAAAACATCACACATACACAAATACTGGCAACAACTAGTGTTGGCAGCCATCTTGGTATACTGTCAATTGCTAAGAAAATATGTGAATTAAAGTCTACCAAAACCAAGTCAAGACCTCCAACCAGTAATTGTTTAGCCTTTTTTGTAGTACTAGAATTTGAACTCAGGCCTTGTGCTTGCTAGGCAGTCACTCTACAACTTGAGCTATGCCCCAGCCCTCAATAATTGTTTAGCAAATCTAGTCAACTATGGTATTATATTTAATGAATATGTGCTAGATAATGTCAACATCTTTTTGACACAGGATGCCAATGTACCTACCTCCAGTTCTAATGAAATCTCAATGATCACTCAACAAATTTAAATTAGTACAATTATAAATAACTTTAGGGGCTAGTGGAGTTGCTCAAGTGGTAGAACACCTGCTTAGCAAGCATGAGGCCCTGAGTTCAAACCCCAGTGCCGCCCCCCAAAAAAGTTAAACAACTTTATCTCTTATTCTACCTTTAGTTCGACAGATCACTCGCTTAGTTTACTAAGCATCTACTGTGTTTTTAATTAGGCACTCTACAAAGCCTTGAATAAGACAGGTGAAGTACTTTCCCTCATGAAGCTTAAATCAGTAGAACTCTCTCCCGTATCTATACACCAACTTACATTTTCTAGCACTAACAATTATGAATGGCATTTCTCTAAGCTTGTTGGAAGCATCTTAGATGACTTCCTTACTTAAGTCACTGGACCATGTTTTTCTCTCACATTTAAAATCTTTTCCTTTCTACAAGCACCAGCCCTCCTAGGTCCTTGTCATCTCACAGCTGGATGAAGTCTCATATTACTAGTCAAATGATGTCCCTGCACTAGACCTCAAACAGCCCTGCCTTCCCTCATCCAAGCAATAACTGTTTATCACATACTATAACACTAGAGAAGAGAAAGTATAGTTGCTACACTTGAAGAGCTCACAGTTGGGCAAGGATAACAAGTATTCTGTACAAAGCACTAAGTAAACACAGGAATAAAACACCCTGAGGAGATTAGAAAATGTTGAGGACTTTTCTGATGCTTAAACTGAAATATGAAGGATAAAGGACTACCCCATGTAAGCTAAGGGGAAATCATTCCATGTAGGAGGAACAAAGTGTGGCAATACAAAAGGCACAGGGCATTTTAGGGTGAGAATAATTGATTGGAGTTACTTGGAATGTGTGGTACCCTGTGGGAGAGCCAGAGCAGGAAGAGGTCAATGGAATAAGAGGAGACTGGCTGAGGCCACTTCAGCGTGCCTGTATGCATACTTTACATACAATAAGTAACGACTGAAATTCTATCATAATCAGAGGACTAAGAATAAGATGTGTCACTCAGCAAATTCATGCTGGAGATAGTGTGAAGGACAGATAGAAAATTGAGTGCACATTCTAGAGGGTCAGAACTAGAATAACAGCAACAGGCAGAGAGACTTATGAGGAATATTTATAAGATCCTAGTGATTAGGTCACTCTTGGCAGTGAGGAAGAGAGAAGTGTGAAGGATGACCTCCAGGTTTTTGTTCTAGGTGACTGTGACAGGAATAGGAAGAAAAGACAGATCAGAGGCGAAAGGCACAGAGCTTGGTTTCAACACGCCTGCCCTTTCCCTTGACCAGAAGAATATCCCACCTCACTTCTCTCTTTGCTGATTCTATACTGCCTTTAAAAATAACCTAAGTTTTATCTTCCCAACAAAGCCTTGCCTGATCTAACTCCAGCTCATAACTTTCCCAAACTTTAAATTGTTTTTGTGCTGCATATATGAACTTATTTACAGTTTGCTAATGAAGTTATCATTTAGCTGTTTTACATGTGCAGTTTTAACAGAGAAAAACTGCCACTCTTTTTCCCCTCACCGATTTTCATGCCTCATATGGCTTAACACAGTTGTAGGAACACAGAAAACTCTTAATAAATACTTGTGAAATTAAACTATTTAGCTATAAAGGTGTCTTGGGAAAATACTGGAAGGAAAAATATTCATTCATTAATGTGAATTTGTTGTTTCTATACCTCCACATTTCAAATTCATTAATCTAATTATAAACTCACTTAAGTATTAGTTTCAAAAATATTATTTATTAAGGAGAACATGATGGTATACACCTGTAATCCCACCACATTTAGGAAGCTGAGGCAGGACGATTGAGAGTTCAAGACCAACATTGTGAATTACTGGCCAGATTGGGCTACATAGGGAGTCCATGTCTCAAAATACAAACAAAAACAAGTTATTATCTTATAAATCTTACAAAAGTTGCAACTTCATATTATCCTAAAAGTAGGTCATTCTTCCTATTAAAGCAATATAAAATGTTTTTAAAAATCTTTCACCTTTCTTTTCTCCCTTCCCCCTGCCTTTTTTTTTTTTTAAGGATACTGACTTCTGTAGTAGTAAATTGATCTCGAAGAAAGTCAAGGTCTTCCTCAAGAGAATCAAGATTCTTTGTGGCAGTAGATAAATTCTTTTCCAACAATGCCTGAGCTTCATCAATATCATATTCAAGCATTACGTTAGCCTGAAGAGAGAAAGTCATGACAATTACTCAACATTTACATAATGTTTTATAGGTTAGAGCAAATGTCTGTAAACTACAGCCCTCAGGTCAAATCCAGTCTGCTGCATCATGCTTTCTTGCCAGAGTAGTTGGAACAAAGACCATGTGATCTGCAAAACAAAAAATATTTACTATTTGGCCTTTTACAGAAATTTTGCCGGCCCCTGTGTACACACACACACACACACACACACAGAGACATTAAATAATTTAATCCTCACAACAGCCCTGGTGAGGCAAAAGTTATCATCTTTACAGTTAAGAAAATGGTGGCTTATAGGCTCAAAAGGTCAAAGGTTGCATGTTTTCCCGCATATGTGGAAGCCAGACCTTTAAGACAAATGTACACATAAATACATATATGATCATATATATACATATATTGCATTAGTGCGGCTGTCTGAGACCACTGGTAGGCAGGACAGGGAAAGAGAATGTTGAAAGAGTGAAAAATATTGAAACACTGCATGTGTATGAAGATAATATAACGTAATACACTGTAAGCTACTGAATAACGGGAACAAGGATAGAGAAAGGGTAAGTAATAGGGGTGGGGTTATTTGATTAAAGCACGATATATATACATGTCTGAAATGCCAAGGCAAAACCCCCTGAACTACCAATAAACACTTTTTAAAAAGTGAAGTACAGGAAAGTAAAATAGGTCCTTTCTGGGGATGGGTACCAATGGAAGGAGGGAGGGCAGAAGGATGAAGGAGGGCAAATATGGTGGATGTATTTTGTATTCATATATGAAAATAGAATAATGAAACCTGTTGAAATTGCTCTAAGAAGGGCGGGAGGAAGGATGAAGGAATGATGGAAGGGGTGAATCTAATTAACATATTTTGTAAACGCGTATGTTAATGTCACAGTATCTTCCTGTACAACTATTATATGGTAATAAAAATTTTTTTCTTAAAAAAGGAGAGAATGGAAGCTGAGAGAGGTGAGGGTCCCTATGCTCCCTCATAAACAAATGAAACAATCAGACAAAAATTAAAAAGTCAAAATAAGAACCAACATTATCAAGACACTAAATAGCATATATGAATCAACACAAAGTTATTCCTGGGCTTTAGACACAATATTGATTTTAAAAAATTTCAAGACATTTTTATTATCTATATTGGATTGGGTAAAATACAAAAAACAGCCAGCTTTTACTGTTCCCTTCCTACTACCTTCCACAGATGCTAGGGGCAAAGGCAAGGTGATGTGTCTGGAATTTTGCAGATCTGCTGTTAACTGCCAAAATTCACAGATGCAGATTAAATGAGGCAACATGAAAGTGCCAAATAAATACTTATTTATTGAATAACCCAATCTATAATAACTAGAAAACTGTATGAAAGTCCAGATAGGACAAAAAATAGTCAATCAAAAATATGTGTGTCTCTAATCCTAGACCCCTAATCTTATTCCTAAGGGTCAAATACTGTGGTTTCTTATGATTTTTTTTCCAGAAATTTTGCACATTGGTTACTTTTTATAAGTAAAAAACAGAATACATTTAAAGACATTTTGTCATTCATGACAAAAAAACATTCATCATCATTCAGTGACAAGTATTTCTGCTTACTGACTCTCTACACAAACACATCCTTCTCAGCCTCTCCACTCAAGATTTACATTCTCCAAAACACAATTCCAAGTTATCCTGCAAACCCAGCCCTCCTCCTATTTGTCCCCCTACTCAGTAAATTGTATAGGTTATAAAGGCATTAGAAATAAAAATGAAATGATCTCTTCATCTTGATAAGCAAAAATCTCTAATACACATCATAAAGTGAAAAGGGCAAAAGGGAGAACAGTGTGCACAGTATGTCACCATTTGTGTAAACAGAAGTGGGGGAAATACAGTCTTATTTGCCTATGTATGTGTAAAATTTCTGTGGAAAAGTATCACGAAATGAACCGTTGACTGCTTAAAAGGAGGATGCATTGTAGTAGTAAAGATGAAATAGGTTTTTAATAGCATGTATTTGCTATAGTTTTAATGTTTGTCTCCCAGAATTTATATGTTGGAAACTTAAACCCCAAATTCATATGCTAATGGTGTTTGGAGATGGGGCCTTTGGGAGGTAATTAGGTTTAGATGAGATCATGAGGGTAGGGCCCCATGATGGCATTAGTAGTTATAAGAGAGACCCAAGCTAGCTATGCACACTGCCTCAACATGTAATTTCATCACCATGTTATGATGCAACCTGTGGCCTTTGCCAGATCCCAGCACTGTGCTCTAAACATCCCAGCCTCCAGATTCATAAGCCAAATACATTTCTATTCTTTATAAATTACCAAATCTGTTTTGTACCTTTTTAATTACATGTAAATGTATTACCTCATCAAAAAAAGACATATCAACCCAGCATTCAGGAGACCAAGGCAGGAGCACTGTGAGTTCAAGGCCAGCGTGGGCTACACAGTGAGACCCTGTCCCAAAAATGCAAGAGCTGGAGATGTAGCTCAGTGGTAGAGCACTTACTTCCTAGCATACACAATGCTGAAGGGTTCCAGCCCAAGCACCATAGAAAAGGCATTAAAAACAACAATTTAAACACAACAAACTTTTGACCCCACGAAGAAAAAATAGCTAATCTGAAAATAGTTTATCCAACCACATTAAGTACTACTGTACAACCATTCAAAATTAAGTAGATCAGCAAAATGAAATCAGTTCCTGCCATTTCTGCCTAAAATCTTTCAATCAGACTCCTACTGCATTTACCATGAGATCCCGACTCCTCACCATAGTTAATATCACTAGTTTTTATCCCACCATCTAGCACTCTTACCCTCCATTGCAGTACCAAAGTCACACAGAAGTGGCCTTCCTTCTATCCCTTCAAGTTAGGTCCTGCTACAAGGACCTCTGAACTTCCTGTTACATTGCCTAGAAACCCCTCTTACCTTTTGTGTAAGTAGCACCTTTGGTCTAGACAAATAGAACAAAGGAACATAAGAGAACCCACAAATGCATCCAGGCAGATAGGGAAACTCAATCCATAGGGAGAGAAGGGACAACACAACAAATCGTGCTGAGACCATTAGTTATCTTACTTGAAGGAAAATCAAAAATAACATTCTTCCTTCACAGTGTTTAATAAAATAGTGTCCAGGTTAATTAGGGTTCTAAATTAAAATAAAACCAAGCAAAACCAGAGGGTTGAAGGAAGATGGTGGCAGCAGTGGCAGTATTCAATCTCAAGACACTTTTTTAAAAACCCACAGACACTAACATTAAAAACCAACAGGCATATACCCAAGAATTGAAAACATACGTTGACACAAAAAGTTGTTCACAGCAACATTATTCACAGTAGTCAAAAGGTAGGAACAAATCAAATATGAACCACAAACAAAATGTGGTTCATATATACAATGGAATGATTTTTGGCAAGAGACTAACACATGCTCCTAAATGGATGAACTCTGAAACATTATGCTCAGTGAAAGAAGCCAGACCATAAACAATTATATATTGTATGATTACATTCATATGAAATGTTCAGCATAGGTTAAATCCATCCATCCAGAAAGTAAATCAGTAGTTTTCAGAGGAATGCAGAGTAAATGTTAATGGGCATGAAGTTTCTTTTTGTGAATAAAACATTCTGGACCTACACAGAGCTAATGGCTGCACAACCAACTCTGTAAATACACCAAAACACCCAACTATATACTTTAAAATGGTGAAATGTATATGTGAATTATACCTTTTTTGTGTGTGTTAGGTATTTTAGGAACTCTTTGTATAGAAAAAAGAAGAAACCAAAGAAGAAATTAAGTAAAACCTCTGTTGTCCTAAATTTGAATGGAAACAATAGTATGAATTAATGTATTACACACAAATACACACACTAGCTTGCACCTTTGCACACAAGCTTATGTGTAGGCTAGCTACAGCTTTCTGCTTCTATTTCCCAGTTGAACCCTGACTGAAAACTGGCCCATTAACCTGCAATCTGTTTTGCAGTCTTCTAAATTTTTTTTGCTTATGTTTAAACATATATGCATGTAGAAACCATGCACATAATAAATATACAGCTTCAAGTATTTTCACAAACTTAAAACACTCATAGAACCAGCACCCTGATCAAGAAGCAGATCATTACCAATACCCCAGAAGCTTCTTTATGCACCCTTCTAGTTGTTATCAGCACCCTTACCCCAAAGACAATCATTTTCCTGACTTCTAACAGTGTAGTTTTGCCTGTCTTTTAACTTTAAATAAATGAACTCACATAGCATGTATTCTGTAACTGACTTCTGTATTAGGTAGAATTACAGCTCCCTGAGTCCATCCTAATCCCTGGAACCTGTGACTCTGATGAAATACATCATTTGTCAGAGTTGTCCCTAATATATGGGGACTAACTAAGTAGGCCTAATCCAATTATATAAGCCCTCAAGAGCACAGAACTTTCTGTGGTTGGTGGCAAAAGGGAAAGCTAGAAAGATGTGAAGTGTAAGAAGAATTAAGTCATGTCACTGCTGGCTTTGAAGCTAGAAAGGTCCATAAACCAAGGAATACAGGCAGTCTGTCTCTAGAAGCCAGTGAGGAAGTATACTTTGGTCTTACCACCACACAGAACCAGAATCTACCAACAACATGAATAAGGCTGGAAGCAGATTCCCTCCCAAGCTTCCAATAAGGAGCATATCCCTTATTGGATAGCACTTTAATTCTGCCTTTGTGAGACCCTAAGCAAAGGACCCAACCAGATCCACCTGGACATCTAACCTACAGAGTTGGGAGATGATAAAAGGGTATCGGTTTAAGCCTCTAAGTTTATGCTCTAAAACCCAAAATGTTTTGAGTGCCGACATGAGACTCAAAAAGTTTGGGATTTTAGAGCATGCAGGATTTCAGATTTTTGGATTAGTGAAGCTCAATTTGTATTACCCTGCCATTCTGGTGGATGCAAAGTGAAATCACACTGTGCTTTTAATTCCCATCTCCTTTTTTACCAATGAAGTTGAACAATTTTTCATATATTTATTAGCCATTGAAATCACCCACACATTATTCTACTGAGTAAGTTGTCTTTTCATGTTGTCCTTAACAAGTCAAGTTTTTCAATGTTTAAGCATAAAAATGTTAGAAACTAGAAAATGTTTATAAATTTAGTGACAGGCTTGTATTGTTAAGATAAATAAAATTATAACTATCTGATAAAGTTGACTGTATCAAATCTTAAAATCTCTCTGTAAGAGGTACCATGGATGAAAGACAAGTAATAGATGAAAACAAAATATGCAATATGTAAACAGAAGACTCTATCCTGAATATGTAATATATAAAAAAGATCTAAATATCTATTCAAAAACAGAATTCAACAGAAAAATGGACCAAAGATATAATTAGGCAGGCAGAAAAAAGACTAATACAAAAACATCTTGTCAAACAAAAAGCTATATACCATTTTCACCCATAAAACAAGCAAAAATTAAAAATGTGGGGAGACTGTCAATAAGCTATATATGCTACTGGAAAAAATCCAAAATGGTACATTTTTGATACTATCAAATTGTTAAATATGGTATGAACATTTATTTAGATTCAATAATTTCAACTCAAAAAGGCATACATAAAAAAAAAAACAGAAGCCAATCTCCCAGAAGACTGTTCACAACTTTGTATATGCAAAGATAATTGCTACAGTACTATTCACTATATAAGAAACTTGAAAAAAAAGAAATCTGAAAACAACTTAAATACACTTAATTTGGGCATACTATGATACAGCCCTACCATAAAATACTAAGAAGTCAATAAAACCAGGGAGGCAAGCTCCGTGTCTACTCACAAGGAAGCTTATCTGTGATACCAAGTAAAAAAATCAGATGGTGCCGAAGAGGAAGTGGGGCTAGCTTTTGACAGGGGAAACTGATGGAAGTCCTGACCAGAGAAGAGACATGATCTGACATGTTTTAAAATGTAAATGCTGTACAAACTGAAAAATTTCACAACTAACAAAAATCAAGAAGATGAACTAAGGGATAGCGAAGTGAATTTCCTTGTGCTAACCAGCCCATCACCTCTTGGGAATTATCTTATAGGACAGCAGCAAGGGGGAAATCCTCCCAGTGGAGAAAGCTGGAGAATGAGAAGCAATACGGGTAGCTTACTACTTTGTATGGGAACTCGTCTGAGGTAACATGAGCCACTGATAGCTAGCTATATGGCCAGGGGACTGAGAAGCAAGATAAGAAAATCTTGGACAAAGTCTATGAAATCATCTTAAATTGAGTATTTTAAAAAATGAACTCTAACTTCAAGGGATTTTTTTTGTTTTATTTTTGGCAGTACTGGGCTTTGAACTCACTTGCTAGGCAGCACTCTACCATGCTCAAGGCCACATCCCAGTTCTCAAGGTTTTTACAATAAGATTATTTTTATAATAATCTTTTCCCCTTTTAAATTTAGAGGAATCTTTCTACAGGTATCACACTCTTAGCAGGAAGAAATATTTATCAGAAGCTCAGCAGTTCTTTCTACTCCTATTGTTCTTCCTTCTGTTTAAATTTTAGAGAGATAAAACATTAGCTGGTGAAGTAAGGTTTGGTCAGTTTTAGCTTGACTGGGAAAGACAAAAAACAAAGTATGTTTTTGCTTCAATCTTCACCATATTTCTAATTCCAATCAGTTTCTAATAGGAACCACTTGAACTCTGCTCCTGCATTCCTTGTACAATCAAAGGGAGATAAAACATTCTACACATCTCAAGTAATACTGTTTTACTAAGCAAAACATACTGGTTTACAAATATGTTGGCTGTGGCTACAACATTTACTTACCCCCAACCATAGGCACACTTTATCAGTAGGAGGAACCGAAGCTTTACAGTACAGGTTATCTGCCAGTAAGAATCTGGTCTCCATTGAATTGGTGGACTCCTTTAAAAAAATGACAGTACCATATATAGGCCAGGTTGATATCAGGGTTATAAAGGGGAGATCCCACAGCTGAATCTAAGACATTTAAAACAGTACCATCATGCAGACTAAGTACAGTGGTAAAAGAAATGAGCACTACCACAAGATGGCTGGGCCTACACTCTGGCTCAGCTACTTACTAGCTGTGCAATCGAATGTCTCAGGGTCCTCATCTATAAAACAAAGATAATTACAGTCCCTGCATCTATGAAGGAAATGGTAAGCGCTGAATTCATACACGTTCACACACACATACAGACACACAAACAAAAAAAACAGTGCCTAGCACACAGAGAATTATATACATATTATGTAAGTGCTATTTATATACAAATTAGCTACTGTTACTATTTCATTGTGTTTTATGCCCAGTATCTGAAGTCTCTCACATAATATACTAAAAAATGTAGTCATTCTTCTCATGAAGTAATAAATCCTATAGGCATACAATCTTTTGAGTATAATGAACTGATGAAATTTGCTTTTGTTTAATGAGTATTGGATTAAGACTTAGAAGACTCTCAAATTTAGTTATGCCAATAACTAGTTATATGATACTGATAAGTGTAACTAACCTCTCTATAATAGTTTCCTCAGCTGTGAAATGAGAACCTGAAACAGGTAATGTCTAAAATTCTTTTCACCTCTATAAATCTCACTCCTATTCTTAAGGAAGATGACAACAACCCAAACAACTATTATATGCTGCTACTGCAAAATAAGACCTTTTCTTTTTATACCTAAAACAATTTCTAATTATATATATGTTTTACAAACACTATACATATATATATAAAGTAATCCAAGTGTGGACCTCAGAGTTAAACTTCACACTTAGAAGGCCACAAAGCCACATTTTTCACAGAAACACACTGTTAATAGTGCATGCACTCAAGAAGGCAGACTAGATCTGACAGCACAAATCAAATACCAGTGTCCAAAGAATCAAGGAAGACAGGTTTCTGCCAAAGTATCCTGGTTCGTTCATAATGACAAACAAAAATGTACTTACTTTTTTCTTCTGCATATATTTTAGAATTTCCAAAGTCTGCTTAATTTCAGGAATCTGACTTTTCAGCCTGAGAACAAAAAGGTTATTTTAGTATTTTGCAGGTAAAAATAAACCCCAGGATACAGTTACTAGCTTTGCATTTTGTATTGTGATGTTCTTGAGAACTACTTACAAACATAAAGTGTTTAAAATATTTTCTACTTAAGATATTTCATAAACTTTATAAATATTTAAAATCAGGCACCAGTGATTCATGCTGTAATCCTGGCTACTTGGGAGGCTGAGCTGAGAGGATCACAGTTGTAGTCAGACAGAGAAAATAGTTCATGGGACCCCATTTCTAAAATAAATAGAGCAAAAAATGGACTAGAGATGGAGCTCAAGCAGTAGGGCACCTGGTTACAAATATGAAGCAGTGAGTTCAAACTTTTGTCCCACCAAAAAAAAATTAAGATATAAGAAAAAATTCTTAAGACAGAAACATTAGTAAAAACGAAATATACTTACTATTTATAAAATATTAAAGGTATAAACATTTAGAGTACTGAAAATATAACAAATATAAAATGTATATTGTATACAAAGCTCTGTTCTATATGACAAACTCCCTACTGTTAAGATCAAATTCCACAGGGTAATTCAAAGGACTGGCATTTAATTAGACTTGCATTTTTAAATAGATTAATTTTAGGACTGGGGGTGTGTGTGGCTCAAGTGGCAGACCACTTGCCTAGCAAGTGTGAGACTCTAACTTCAATCTCCAGTACTGCAAAAAAATAAAATAAGCAATAAATTAATAAATAAATAAAAACAAGAGACTTGCTGGAAACGCTATTATCCCAATCAGTCACTTAGTAAAATTTTACAACTAATTTAAAAATTGTATGCCTTCTGTGATACCAAGTAAAAAAATCAGATGGTGCCAAATTTGAAAACACCAACCCCTATCTAGTGCTACATATAAGCTATTTGTGGTGAATGCACGCAGTTCACACATCATAGTCAGCTAAATGCTAGGCAAAGCGTAAGTGATATCCTCTCAGGATACACCCCCTCCTCACACTGTAGCTAAGCTCCCTCTCCCAACAGGGGAGGCAAGCTCCATGTCTACTCACTGCTACAAGCAGAGGAAGGGAAAACAACTTAAATACACTTAATTTGGGCATACTATGATACAGCCCTACCATAAAATACTAAGAAGTCCAGCCCTAGCGGGGGACTGCACACCAGTTCTCCACCTCAGCTGTGAAGCTGAGAATGACAAGTACAGGCCCCAACAACTGTACTCTCCACACTCCCTGAAGATAGCCAGGGGCAGAGAAACAGAGGTGGAGTTACCTGGTTAGGGTATATATATATTACTGGAAGGTTATTGAATCATAATGAAACACAACATGCCAGAACCTGTGGGATACAGTGAAGGTAGATCTAAAAGGAAATTTATAGCTGTGAGTGCTTGCATTAAAAAAAAAAAAAGATCTCAAATAAATAACCGAATAATTCATCAGAAGGTCTTGGAAAACCAAGAACAAGCCAAATTCAAAACTAATAGAAGGAAAGAAATAATAAAAATCGGAGCTGAAGTTAATGAAAGAGACTATAAGAACAATACGAAGGATGCATTAATAATTAGCATACATTAAAAACTGAAGTAAATAAGAACTAATTTACTGATAAACACAATACCATAGATGACTCTCAAAGAGGGCTGACAGAAAACAGTAACTACTATATGCTTCCATTTATAAAAGAACATTCAAAAACAATTTACAGTAAAAAAAAATGGCTGCTGGTGAGTGTGTGATTGAAAAGGGGCACAAATGGACATTGTGGGATGATAAAATATACTACTAATCTGTGCAAGAATTAATTCTGGTCAAACATTTATCACAATTCATGAAACTGAATATTTAAGTATTTGGCATGTAGAATTTTATTGTATGTAAGTTATATCTGATTTTTTTAATTTTTCAAGCTATTTAGGATTTTTTAAAGCTTAGAAATTTTTAGTTACCTCCTTTTCTTTTGTGCAAGGTTGAGTTCCATAAACTTATACTTCTGATACTGTTCATCCAGCTTCTTTAGTACTGTGTCTGCAGTCTCATTCCCAGGCTGTTTCATGAAGGAATCTACATCTTCCTTTGATATTGAGAAGTAATACATGACAAATTTTAGAGTTCATACCACTAATCTGATTTAACTACTTTGTTTTTAAAATACAAAAGAAAAACATTTGGGGTTTTTTGTACAAAGGTTTTTAACAAAAACAATTGTTATAGAAAGTTAGAGATCATTTCAGACAATGCACACACGAGCTTTCATCTTTGTCTTTTAATTTTTATTTGTAAGTAGGGAGAGAAGGATGACCTTGCCTGCTTTATGTGTTTCTCATGTGGTCCTAGTCATAAACATGAAAATTACTAGCAATCACATTGCCTATTCACTGTCTTAGTCACAAAACAATTCAACAAGTTGTGTGCCAAAATCATCAGTTTTCTTACTAATTCTAAAATCAACAAGTTCTGTCATAGAAATCATCCTATATATGGTCCTGAAGTTCCAAACACAAAGCATAAATACTTCCTTAGTATTATGTAATAGATATAAAGTAAAGGTAAAAAGTAGGATGAGAACAAGGTTCAAACAGTTTGCCTAGAAAGTACAAGGCCCTTAGGTCAAAACCTAGTAATGCCAAAAAAGGATTAAAAAGTTTAATTGGAGATGTAGCTCAGTGGTAGAGCACTTGCCTAGTAGGTGCCAGGCCCTGAGTTCAAATCTCAGTACTGCTAGCACAGCTCAGTAGACAGCTCGGTAAAACAGCAGTTTTACAACAGCTTGATGGGTTGGTAGCTTCTACCTGCTTCTCTTTAAACTTGGCTTGGACCCTGTGACACCTCCAAACTGCACTCCCCGCCCTTCTCATCTGCGCGCAGTTCACTCTCTACTGAATTGTTAAATTGAAGTTCCTAAAACCAAACGCCACCTTGTCATGAAGGCCCGTCGCCTTCCGCGACAGGACTTCGCCACACGCAAAGCCCCGCAGTGTCTCCCGGCAGCGCCGCAAACAGACTAGGTGCCATCCCGCACTCACACCTTGCGCCGGCGGCTCGTTTATCTTTCTCGCCGGCGTCCAGGCTGAGTGGCGGGGACGCGGGGACGCGGGGACGCCGCGCCGCGCTTCAACCGCCCCAGCCCGGCGCCGCGGCCCGCTCCTGCCCCCCAGTCCTCCTGTCCCACGCCCTCTTGTCTTCTAAAACCGTCTCCCGCTGTGAGCCTTCAGGGCATCTCGAGGCACAGCCATCGCCCCAGGTGTGCGGGGCTGTGCGGGGAAGGAGGTGGTGAAAATGGATTGGGGGAGGGGCGGGCCAAGCACCCCATCCCTGGATCTGTAGCTAAGCTCCCTCTCCCAACAGTCCAGCCCTAGCGGGGGGCTGCACACCAGTTCTCCACCTCGGGCCACGATGGTGGAAGACAGCGTGACTCTTACCACAAACACGGCCTCAGGAATCCCCAAGTGAAGCCGCCGCCCGTTCCCCGCAGCTATTTCTGTGCCAGAACCGTCCTTAGCCGCCGCCATCTTGAAGAAGCGAGCGCGCGACTAACTGCCTCCTGACTTGCCGACCACCAGGGACCTGCGATTGGCTCGCTCGCGCCTGCAGCCCTTCTCTCGCCCAGTGAACCCGCGCGTTCATTGGTGCTTACGAGGGAGCCGCCCCTTGGCCTTTACTAGGCACTAATTGGCTGCGTGCGGATGGTGACGAACAGAAGGGACGCAGAGACGCGGAAACTGCAGGAAGAAACCCGACGACGCCTGGGACAGGGATGGTGACGATTTTAGAGTGGGCGGGGCGAAGGCAGTGGGAATGGGGGCCATGTCTAACCTCACCCGACCCCAGAACGGGTAGTACGCTTGGGAACGGCCTCCCACAGCAAGCCCAGTCCACTATGAGACCCCAGCGCCCCTGGGACCTACATGCCACTGCCTTTCTGCTCCAACCTGCCAAGGACTCTCTTGTCTCTTGAAGGGAACTTGTTTTCTGACTGTTTCAAAGTGGAACCACCTGAACTTACAATAGATACCCTGCCCTACGTACCAACCTTCCTCCAAAGCCACCTGTGGTCACACTTTTGTCACCCTAGCCGAAAGTTTTCAAAATTCTAAGAATTCTTCCTAAGCTTCAATGCCAAAGAAGTTCCCTCAACATTGTCTTCTACCATGAATATAGGAATTTATACAATGCAGGCCAGGTGTGGTAGCACAGTCTGTTATTACACCATGGCAAGCTGAGGCAGAAGGATCACTACAAGTTTGAGCCCAGCGTGGGATGCACAGCGGGATTCTGACTCAAAAAAACAACGCGCACACACACACACACAAATGCTGGTAGAAAAATCCATCTCCCTTCTCAGAGGCAATCACTGTTACCAGTTTTTCTCCATAGAAAATACATGATCACACATACACACGTACAGATGTCTTTCTTTGCATGTAAAAGGAGTAAATTGTCATTCTTAGTTGTAAGTGAAGGAACTAAAGCTCAGTGAACTTGTACACCTCCAAAATTCTACAAATACAGATATTAATGAAGCCAAAATTCCAAAGTAGTTCTCCAATGCCTTCAATGCTCTATGCCTTGGTAGGATCCCTGTCAGCTAATGTCTCTGTCCCAGCCAAAAAAAGGAAATAGGAACTCCATTCTTCACCAATGTCCCTGCCTCAACACCTTCCAAAAAGTAATCTGTATACACGTGTGTGGGTGAAAAATAAATTTTCTACAAGAAAACATTTACATATCACTCTCACATTTGGTTCAATTTCACTAGCCTGTATCTGTATTTATCATTGTTATATTAATCAAGGCCTTTACTCCAAACTTTATAAAGCCTTTTCCCAAATACCACTAATTCTATTGTGGAATAAATCCCTCTGGGAGATCTATTATTTGATTCTTAGGGCCAGGTTTTTCTATATAGCTTGTAAGAAAAGCTTACTGCTTAACTTTAACTTCCTTGCAGGTACAGATAAATGCTTCCTATATTACACTGCTGAGTGTATTTCCTTTGTAGGTCCCACTTAATTAGAAAGTTATATTCCAGTTCCTCTGGCTCCTATCCTTCCTTCCTCACACAACAACACTTTTTCCAAGAGTTCACTAAGCTTATCAACTTTAAATAAGGTCATTTTCCAATTCTCTGAAGAAGTACAAATGGCCAATAAACATATGAAAAAATGCTCAACATCTTGGGCCATAAAGGAAATGTAAATCAAAACAACACTGAGAATCCACCTCACCCCAGTCAGAGTGACTGTCATCAATAACACAGTTCTGTGCCTTGAACTAGCATTGTGTATTGAAGCAGCTCTTCATTTTGCCATCACTGTTCCACACCAGCTCTATGACTGGGTTTATTATGTTACCCACCTTGCCTTCAGCAAGGCCCCTTTAAATCCTATGGCTTCTTAGGATTTAACACTTCTTAGGCATTCTATAACCTATATATCATTATGTGAAGTGCAATGTATGATCTGAGAGTTAATATTAGTAATTAAGATTAGAATAAAAGAACATGTTTGTTTATCAAGTGAAATCAGCCACTTTTTAGGCATTTGGAATACTTTAGTGAACAAAACTGACAAATTCCATGTCCTCTTTTAATAAACAGAAAGCATAATCAGAAAAACAAGCAAAAAAAAAGCATAACCAGTAAACTACATGACATATTTTGAATGGATAAGTGCTATAGAAATATACATACATGCATATATATTTATATACATTACATCAGGGCAGTAGCTGAGGAAGCTTGTGATGTGAAAGGAACACTTTGAGTCTAATTTTCTGGTGATCATCAGGTAACGATGGTACATGGATGACTGGCAGTAATTTCTCTGGCAAAGGGCTTCTCTTCTGTATGGATCCTCTCATGAGCTTGCAGGCTAGTTTTGTGGCTGAGGGACTTTTCACACATGCTGCATGTGAAAGGCTTCTCTCTTACATGAATTACCTGACCCACTCCTAGGTCTGAGGCCTAATAGAAGCTTTTGTGACACTCGGCACATCTCATTCCTTTGTTTTCTCTGGTGGGCTAAAAAGTATCACAGATACCTAAAGATCTTGGAACATTCCTGACATTTGTATGGTTTGGGGCTCCATGGAATCTTTCTTGGTGTCCCTCACTCGTGGAGTTTCCCTCATTGTTCTGGTGAACAGGTACAGGCTCAGGGGAAGACTGGTCTGGCCTGGAGAAAAACCGTTGTCGCACCTCCATAGGGACATCTTGGTAAGAAGGCCCCTTCGGGGACCCTTCCTAGGACCTTGAGGTATCAGACATGACTTTTATTCTGATTCCAGATTCTAGGAGATTACAACTTACTTGACATCTAAAAGAAGGGAGGATGATGGAAGAAAAGCTTGCAGTTTCAACCTTCCTGGTTTTCTTTCAATTCCTGAATCTGGCATTTACAATTTTTTTTATTATTTTTAATTCCTTTTTAAGGGCTAGGTATGGAGTTAGAAAACTGGATAGCTGAGAATTACGTCTTGGGTGTTGATAAGGAATCACATCTCAGACTCCTGAACATCCAAGATCAAGAACTCACCCAGCCTGAAGATGTGGGAGGAGTTGATGACACATAGCCCACTCTCCAGAAGTTAATGATGCATAACTCAGTTTTCCAGGATTGATCACCCCCATGTCTGCAGACCTCGAGGAAAGTTTGAGATTATGAGACCCCAACATAGTGTTTCTTCTTGAGCCTGCCCACCCTCCTACCTGGCAGGTGCACTTTCACTTTGCTCTGCATTAATAAACCTATTCCTTTTCAAGTCTCCTCTGTGTCTGTCCTTGAATTCTTTATCTGATGAGACCAGAATTTTTCTGACCTCCCTGACCTAGGGGCCTGAGTCTAGTGACATTTTGGTGAGCCAAGCCAGTAGACTCCTACTCAGGAGCAGGTGACTTTATTCTTCTCTGACTCCAGTTAAGCCTACCTGATTCCTTATTGATATGGAGGGGGTGTGAAACTGCCTTTTCAGTTTTACTCTTTAATTCTGGACTATTTTCTTACAAAACTTGCACAACATTGGAGATTAATTCCTCCTCTCTCCTGTGTCTAGAAAGACCAAATAATCGCCCAT